GAATTTTAAAAGAGAAGAAAGGAAAGGAGCCTTTGGGATCTGAAAGAATAGCAGGATCCTCAAACCTTCAGTGTAGAAACATCTTTTTCGGTAATCCCACTAGAGCCAAAATAAGCTAGAAGAAGATGAAAGAGTATCACTGAAAGGCTGTTGATTGAAGGAAACCATGTTTTATGGAATTTAGGGTTTTGCAAACAAAAACTCAGAATGTTCAAGAGTCCCGTTTTTGTTTGCAAACCCTAAATTCCATAAAACACCTGCGCAATTCAGATTCATAACCGGCTCAGTCCATACAGTCCAGAACATGTCGCTTGTCATCAATAAGTTCTTGGATGCCCTCTTAAATGGTAAGATGATAAGATGGACCTCTTAAAAGAGGTCCATCATATTTTAGCTGTAAATTCTCCCACGAATCTTGGATTATTGCCAACAATAAAGCTGTGCTTAACGCTATAAGCAATATCAATATAGCTAAAGAATTTCATGAATTTTTGCCTATGGGCTGTAGTTACAAAGAATACTACATTGGTGTAGAATTCTTTTCAAATATCCTTCAAGCAAGCCTACAGAGTAATTTTATTCTCATGGGAAATATGGTGTTTCGGCATGTTGTTGGAATCCCCATGGGGAGTAGTTACTCAACTAATATGGCCAATCTTTTATTTTTCTTCTATGAACGTAATTTCCTATAATAAAAAAAAACCTCTTCACAGGCATATATACCTTTACCTTTAGATATGTTGATGATCTCTTGGCACTCAATAACAACAACAATAACAACAATAACAACAACAACAATCGCTTCCGTTTATCCAGATTGCATGGAGGTGCAGGAAACTTTTTCGCCCCCATTCAAATCCGCTCATTACTTGGATCTCTACCTTAATATTACAGATTCTACATCTTCCATTAAAATTTATGACAAAAGAAGAGATTTTTCCTTCGAAATGTCCAACATGCCAATGCATAGGTTTAATATCCCCAAGCATATCATCAATAATGTCAACAAATCACAATTAAATACTTGCAGATCTGCAGTCACAAGGATGACTTCGTATTCAACTGCGGTATTTTACATGATAAATAGATAAATAATGGATACGCAGATTGGTTTTTGAAGAAACAATTTGGCCTCTTCAAAAAAAACGCATTACCTCACTATTTTGCAGAAGTTTGGTGTTTCCTTCGCTAACGAACCTTTCGTTTTCCGCTAGTCGGTCTGCCGAATGGCTTGCTTCCACTCTGTGGGATTAGGGCTAGCCTCTGAGTCATAGGCCTGGGTGAGTCATAGGCCTGGGTTAGTCCTTGGCCTAGGACGGATTCCAGGGAGTGGGCATAGGCCGTTCGCCTTTTATGGTCGACTGTGCCTTTCCTCCTTCACTGCATACTCTTTATTATTTTTTCTGTCGATCAGGGGACAGTTAGAACAGTTAGTTTCGGTCTACGTACACAGGCTTGGATTGCAACGCATGAGTCATTTTACCCAGTGAATTCTCCCAGTTCTTGTGGAATTTTCCTTTTCTCCACTCTTTTCTCATCGAGCCATGGATAGTGGATAGATCTTTCGGACACGGATCCCCCTGGAGCTTAATTTCTTCATGGCTGTCGGCTAGAGGTCGTCTGCTCTCCTGAGCAATCCTTAATTCCTTTTTCACAGGACACATCGCACTGGCTTGCAGCATGAGCTTTCTCTAGCTAATAGGGTGTGCATTTGTGGTGGCTTAATGGCTTAAGCTGTGGTTTCTTTTAGTCAACAGCCTTTCAGTTATACTCTTTCATTTTCTTCTTGCTTATTTTGGCTCTAGTGGGATTACCGGAAGAGATGTTTCTACACTGAAGGTTTGAGGATCCTGCTATTCTTTCAGATCCCAAAGGCTCCTTTCCTTTCTTCTCTTTTAAAATTCCATTATCTTACTTTTTGGAGTCGGTTGTCTTGATTAGCCAGCTTGGAGAAGAAAAAAAAACGATAAAGCACGCTGAGATTCAATATTCCCCCCAAATCCAGGGAGATGGAGCTTCGGACTTGCTGAAGGCTGTCGAGGAAGGAAGAAACATGCCCAATTTTATTCCTGGTGATGGTCTTGGAAATGAAAACGAGGAGGTTACGCAATTTCCAGCGCATCAGGTTCCAAATCGATCGTTGTTTTTTTCGCGAACATTTGACTCGGTACTATTCCCCTGGGTACTTGGTACTCGTATACCTATACTCAACGTATAGCTAGCGGACGTTTCGTTTCCTCCTCGCCTTCCTATTTAAATTTCCCACGTTGAGCAATCCAGCATTTCGAGAACCATGAGGGAGCGGGGGAAAAGCCAATGACAAGGTCTGTGGCCTTGCCACGGCAAAAACGAGAGTGATTTGAGGAAATCGAGGTCGGCGTCGGGGGAAACCCTTTGTGATTCGGACGTCCGGGAAGAGGCGAACGGGACGCACGGACTCCGACGGCCGACGGCCGACGTGACGCAAGAGAGGATCGGTGGAACGGGGAGCAGCGAGAGGCTGACATTGAACCGGTCGTATTCCACCGGGAGCCCCCGAGGGCATGATGCAATTGTGTCTGTGGGATTCCCTCGGCGAGCTTCTCGGAACGAGGGAGAGCGAAGGCGAAGGTCGGCCGCTCCGTCGAATATCAACCGGATCGTCCACTCGACCGCGAGGCATTCGGGCGTGCGAGTGTCCCGCGTTTCTTCTGCGTCTCGTGCGAGGGGACTCGGCGTTTCGTGCGTGCGATGCATCGCTTCTTGCGGTATCGAGCCGTCCGGCGAACGATTCAACGTCTTCTGCGTCGGTGAAAATTTCATTGCCCTCGTTTGGTCGTTCCGTGCCGCCGAGGTCGGTTCCGGTTTCTCCATCGACCCGAATGGGGAAAATCACAGTCGACCTCGTTTTGCCGATTCCGGAGACGATGGAATCCTTTCGAACCGCCAGAGACACCTCGTGTTGTCGATAGTGCTGATATCTCGTCGCGGTGACAGAGCTCAGCCAGGCGTAGTTCTCGTTCGAGTGCGTCCAGAAATGCATAAAATCGTTCCGTTCCGTTTTTCGGCGATGTCGTATGAGTCTCCTTTCGTGGAAGACCGACGACCGTTCGTCACGACGTCAGCACCTGCAATCGATCCCACCCGTTCCTGGGATTTCGCATCCCGCGATGAGCAATCCCCGGAACTCGATTATTGAAACCGCAGAACGCTCGCCGGATGTCACGCGATCGCCGCGACTACCTTGACCCGAATGCAAGCGGAAAATCGATTAATTGTGGGTTTCTCCTCCTTTTTTACCCCCGCTCTCCCCCTCGGGAGCCCAGATCCACCCAGGATGAAGCAGCTCTCGTGTCTGTTGCTGCTGCTGGGCCTCTCCCGCGCCCAACAAGACAAGATCCCCACCCCCCTCCTCGGCCCCCAAACCCCCCTCCTCGGCTCCCCCTCCCTCCTCACCGGGACCCCCACCCCCCTCCTCGGTCCCCCCCAGGCCGCTGATTACGGCTGCGCCCTTCCCTTCGCCTGCGTCCCGTTCTATCTCTGCTCCGAGGGCAACATCGTCACCGATGGAGAGGGCATCATCGATGTCCGATTCGGCCCCGGAAAGGTGAGTCGTCGGTCGATCCCAATTTTCACCGAAAACGATTTTTTTTTCCGGATCGTGTTCATCAGATCGGATTTTAGAAATGGCTTCCTAACTTATAAACTTTTTTTCCCCCCTCATTTCTATCGAAAAACGATTTTCATCGGAGTAACATTAACTCCTTCCACGCCGGTCGGTAAATTCCTCAATTACCGAAGACTCCACAGGTCTTAAAAAACTCGATTTTGAGAGCAAAGAGCTCTGGCGACTGGTGTGACCCCATAAATTCTAAAATGTTTGCTAAAAAGTGCCAAGCTCCCCTCGTGCCCGCTTTAGCCGGTTCACCTTTCTCATCGATCGTTCGGCATTCCATTCCGCGATGACGATAAATTTCACAATGACAGATGGCTTTATGAGATGAATCTTCAACGGTAGACGGTTTCGCGTCGTCGTGGTGCGAGAGAAGGAGCGACTAAAGGGAAGAGAAAGGACGACATCGGCTCGAAAATGCCGAAGGAGCCGGGGATTTTTTTTTTTTTTTAAGGAATAACATGAAAGCGAAATCACGCACATTTCTCGGGAAACTCTCATGGATCGAGGCCGATGCTTCGACGCGATGAGGACGGTGTCCAGCGTCTCAAACGCGTTTCCTTCCAAAACGTGGTCTCTCCTATAATCCTATAACTTTAATACGGGTAGAACGATTCTTAAAACTGTTGATGAAGCAGGGGAATAATGCACTTCCGATAGAAAAAACCTTCCCACGGAGCAGCAAGTTCTCCATCGTTATCGGCGACCGAAACTCCTAAACTCTGTTGTGATGCATTCCAGGAAAGGCTAATTACGTTCTAATTTCTAAGTTCGGACGGATTAAAGAAATTGCTAGAAAACCAAGAACTCGCAAGGCCACCCTCAGAAACAGCAGCGAAGAACGGTTTCCGAGGGAAAGCTCTTGGTTTTGCACTCGTACTTGGTAATTACGTTTTAGTGTCCGAACTTAGATACTGTCCGAACCAGATGATTTTACTGTGAATATTATATTTGACAGAGTTTTTATCGCGGCACAATCTTCGAATAAAATGAATAACCTGCATTTTCATATTTCTAAGGATTGTGAAATGCAAGAAGAATGATACGTACCGTTAATGTCCGTAAATTTGGAGAAGCAAATGTAGGAGCTACAGTAGCCAATAACGTGTGGATGAAGAACTTGTCGCTCTTCGGGTCAGTTTTTACCTGTGGTGTCGATATGCGACACTGACTTTCGAGAGGTACTTAGCACTCTATGACCTATTGTGCAAAATAGACCTTTTAAAATCGATTCCAGGTTTGCGTGATTTGTTTCTTCCCATCGCGGAGGACAATCACGAATACTTTCAGAAGTTAGCAGGAAAATAGATATTTTATAAACGATTCCTTCTTTATATTATTTAATGAATATCGTGAAAATGTGAGTTGGAAATTGCTGATATATTATCGGTGAAATTGCGAGCAATCGACTCTAGAGGATTTTTGTCGCAGGATTCGAGCGGCCCGCCGCAATTGGTGGGCGGGAACTGCCCGAATTTCCTAGACGTGTGCTGCCGCGACCCGAACGCGAAGCCTCCGCCGACGCCGAAGCCCCCGCCGTACGTGCCCAGATGCGGGATTAGGAACAACCTGGGGATCGACGTGCGCATCACGTTCAACGCGTCGCACGACAAGCACAAGTACGACCACGAGGCGCAGTATGGGGAGTTTCCGTGGATGGGGGTGGTTCTCACTGCGAAGCCGGATGCACCCGAGAAGGATCTCTATCAGTGTGGTGCCTCTCTCGTTCACCCTCAGGTCGTGCTCACTGCTGCTCACTGCGTCGATAAGTTTGCGTGAGTTTCCTGCTTGCACCACTTTGCGATATCGAGAACTGGTTTGAAGTTGGGGTGCCCACGGAAGAAGTGCCTGCTATAGCAGGCACTTCTTCCGTGGCAAATAGCCAATAGCAGCAAATCTATAGATTTGCTCCTCTTAGATATTGGGAGGGAAATAATGATTCCTTCATGGCCCGCCGTTTTAAAATTCATCAAAAACGTGCACATGTTCGACTTCGATGTGGCAAAGAGGGACTAGGGGTTTCTTTTCTCATGATACAAGGCTCGCAGAGTTCATAGTTCTCGTCTTCGAAGGAAATAGGAGAATATACACCCATTTCACGGAACTCCTCATGGAGTTAGGAATACAGAGAATGGAAAGAGAAAGGAATCTCTTTGCAGCCGCTTTCACTTGAGGCGTCGTAGTGCCTCATTCGATGAACCTCCTCAATGCTTGTCATCGGAGGTGGAGAACACCGGACACTCAGCTCAGACGTTTCTCGCCAATGATACCTCTCTGAAACCTTCACAATGGTTTCTTGAGATCCACTTTTCGCCTGAACTAAAGAGAATAACGTTCTTTGAGCCACACGAAGTTGTCGAGGGAAAAGACGTAAGCGCCCCTCGTTTTCCGAATATTCTGGCGCCGACGTTGTTAACCATTTCAGGAGTGTGAACGTACCGGTTCATACTCCTGAAAGGTTTAAGAAAATTCACTCCTCAATGGGTTAAGTTTTGAGCTGTGCATAAAAACGTGACGTACGATTAAGATTGGCTATTCTGGTATGTCACTGTCTGCTTTCAATGTCGCGTGCATTAGCATGCTATCCATAGTTTAGAATGTTGAGTGAATCTACCTGTTGATGATTCCTGTTATTGCTGGCGACTTTTACTCCCTTTACGGTTCTTGTATCCTTGTTTTTGGGGCTAGATTTTACCCACTTCCTACTGTTCATTCCCGTCAAAAGTTTAACCTTTGTACTGGTGATTGGAAAATAAGCGAGCTTTTCTCTCGTAGAGAATTCCCGGCCCAGAACGGGCTGAAGGTCCGGCTTGGAGAATGGGATACGACCAACGACTACGAGCCCTATCCTCACCAAGACAGATTCGTGGAGAAGGTGATCATGCACTCGGATTACCGCAAGGGGCCCCTCTACAACGACATTGCTCTCCTCTTCATGAACCACCCATACGATCTTTCCCCCCACGTCGACACCATCTGTCTGCCCGAACCGGGTTACTCGCGTCCGTGGGGCAACACCTGCGTTTCCACCGGGTTCGGCAAGAATTCCTTCGGGAAAGAGGGCCAATACCAGGTGATTCTGAAGAAGGTGGAATTGCCTCTGGTCGAACGGATCGAATGCGAGAAGAGACTTCAAAACACCAAGCTTGGCCAATGGTTCCGACTTCATTGGAGTTTTCTCTGTGCTGGCGGCGTCGCGGGAGAAGATACTTGCAGGGTAATGTTATCACTTTCGATTTATGGATCCAATAATCCCACTCGAAGAAAAGTTACACTGTTTCATCTGATTATTTATATTCAAATATATATTTTTCTTGCTGGAGATTTAAGTTTTAAATATCATACAGTCCCTGCTCGATAAGGAACTGCAAAATTCCCAACAGATTAAAACAAAACAAAGACATGCCTGTTTTCTAGGGTGATGGAGGAGGTCCATTGGTGTGCTATGATCCCAACAAGGGATCCTGGTTTCAAGCAGGAATCGTGGCCTGGGGAATTGGGTGTGGGAATGCCATCCCTGGGATTTACGTGGATGTTGCTCATTTCGCTCCCTGGATTGACGAGCAGATCACCAGATATTACCATCTGTCCAAGCCCTATTGGGGATTCGACTTACGCCAGAATGCACCTGGACAAGGCCTTCCAGTTCCTGCAACAAATCCTGCAGTTCCTGCACCAAATCCTACAGTTCCTGCACCAATTGCTACAGTTCCGGCATTAAATCCTGCAGTTCCTGCATCGAATCCTGCAGTTCCTGCGTCAAATCCTGCAGTCCCTGCACAAGTACCCCAGAATCCTCCTCCCCCACCTCCTCAAAACCCAGCGGCACCAAATGGTCCTGGAGCTGACGCAGGGATTGGGACACTGTAAACATTTGTATGATAGATGCTGCGAATCGAATCAATAAAAATAAAGTCTTGTATTCTATCATTGCAAATAAATGTGTGGCTGTAATTGTGAGCCAGCTTTACACATTTGCAAACTGTCTTTCAATGTTACTGTTACGTCCCTGCATGAAAAGCACAGAAACCTTTTGCTTGGCACTGTTGCATTACACACAGTGTTTGGTCAAACATGTGTGACTCGTGTCAAGCACTGAAAAACCAAGGGAAACATGTTGAAAATATGCTTAGCTGACAAGATATAATAGCAAATGAATGATTAATCTTGCACAAGGTGGTATTATCTGAATTACATCAGCCTTTTCATTACTCCACAGCAAGCCTGAGACCAACATCATTGGTAGAAATGTGCATAGAAAGGCACTGAAAATTGCAGCATCTTGCCTGTCTTTCATGCTTTCACATGTAGAAGCTAAATGGTACTAAAATCAAGAGTAGGAGAGAAGCAGATCATTATGACAGAGACCTCAGCTTCTCCATTCTAGTCTGCCAATGCATTCCCATGTAGAAGCCATGAAATGGATACGATCCTTTCTATGATGTCTCTCAGTCCAGGTTACAACCAGTGATATTGGTCAGATTTTATAGGAATGAACAAGATAGGTCAGATATGAAAGAGTCTTCACTTAGGATTCTTAGAGTATGGGATAAGTTAGCAACATTGATAACAGGCTTGTCAATACTTACAAGAAAAAACAACTGCTTATTTTAAGAAGAGGGAAGACTCATAGCTGCAAACTTGCATGTCTGGGAGCTCCCATTTAACCTCCTTGTGTTCAACTTTTCAAACAAAAGTAAAATAAAGGAAAAGAGGCAGAATGCTTATTACTTTTTGGGAGGAGTTAAGCTTCATGAGAAGGTAACATTTCTGCCTTTTTAATGTTTGTCTCCTCCTTGTACTCCAAAGAATCTTTCTCAGATGGATAAGTTGAAAGGTAAAACTCAGTTTATGTTTATAGATCTAATTGGAGGAATTGGACCTGCTGCTTTCTGAAAAGCAGAACATTCTATTATCATAATTTAATTACACAATCAATGATCTTGTATGCATGTAGAGACCTACTGTCAAGTATAAAACCATTCCTGCCAGTAGCATATCCATAGGAGAGCCCATGGGCATGTGCCACCTTCAGATCTGCCAGGAAGGAAGAGGACACAACCAATCATTTAGAAGAAGGAATGTTGTGTGCTCAAGAAAAATGGCCTACTGGGTCCATGTGCGTAGCTGATCATCTCATGTATGCAATTAAGGATTAGGACATCAGCTGCAATGGAGATGGAGCCTGATTTGCAAGAATGCTTTTGGGAATGGCATAGGCACAGACCTTGGGTGATAGGCTATGCCAAGCTGATATTGTGGTAGTCCTAGAAGAAATGTCAGCTCACAATTTTGCACATTTTGATCATATGTTGGAAGGAAACATTTTTTTCTGTTCAGTATAAAAATTGAGTGGAACAATTTCTGTCAATAACTTTGCCTCAATAGTTGAAAATTCAATGATCACAGTAACTAAATTGAAGCCTATTTCTAGGACTCCACCTCCTCTGCATCAGACATTGGTGTAGGTTTGACATGGACCCACTGCTTTCCATAGTACAGAGGATGATTGTTGGATTGTGGGAAAAAGTGATCAACCCTTCAAGCAGTTTTCACTTACACCATATGTTCATCACTTGGTCAAAACTCAGTGCTTGAAGGATTAATGGCACCTTCCCAAGATTAGCAGTCTTACAGTTATAATACAAGCGAGCTATAATAATTTTTCTCAACAAGCATTAAAAAATTACCAGACATAACATTGACCAGACAAAAAAAAAATCCATAGCCAAGATATTACTCCATGAAGCCCTCTATTTGTCACCTTCCCTTACAGAATAGGGCCTAATACCATGATTTGAAGCCCATCAATACTGGAAACAAAAGTTGTTTAACTTTTGTTTCCAGTAACATGATTGTCATTGATTGGATTGGGTGATTGCCTCATAGCCTGGCCTTGGAACAATGCATTCTTACAAAATGTAATGACTCTCTGAAACATATCAGCCTATGCATAGAACAAGGTGAAAGTAAATATCTGCACTAAAAGCAGAGTTTTGTGGATTAAAATCAGGGTTCTCTTTTCATCATAGTCCATACTCTGTAGTATGGAAAACACATTGGTGTCTAAGTCTCTGGATACTGAAGGGAATGATCTGAGGCCCAGGTCCCCTTCTTAAGATAAGGAATGCTGCACACCCTTTTGCCTTCTGTCACTCATGTTAACAAAATTGTGTAATTCAGTTTTTTTTTTGGCCTTGTTTTCCTGAAGACAATTCATTTCTTGGAACATATGCTGCCTTCTTGAGAAATATCATGATCCACCATTGATTTCACCTCAATTTGATGCAGGCTTAATAGACAACAGCTGAATTTGATTATGAACTGTTTACTTTATTCAGGAAATCTTTCTTAGATATACAACTAAGCAAACTGACAAGGGAATCCCAAACAAGGGTTCATCTATGCAATCAATGAACTAATGAGAAGTAGTTTCCTCCTCATCAGCCCTATAGCCAGGCTGGTACTCAGGTTCATGAGGGTAGTATGTGGGGTTGTTTGGATCATGTGCCTGGAAGACAGAAAAAAGTTCTCAACAACAACTGGAGGAAAATCATAAATAAAGACATGTGCTAACAGTCCAAACTTGAAAACAAATACAAATAACAAGAGCAGGAACATTTTGAAATGAACGAATGGTACTACCATATAATCAATTATTACCCAATTTATCAATTTTGCTTTATGCTTTAAAATGTAGGATGAACCTAAATGTTCTTTTCAATGGTTCCCCGAGTTACTCCTCAATTGAATACTCATTTCTATTAGTTACAAAATCACTCATGTATCACTTACACAAATGAAATTTTCTGAATTAGCAGCTTTAAAAGATATAAACTATCCTTGACTTTTTCAAGTGGATATTATCCCTTTCTCTTTTTTATTGACATTAATCTTGGCCACAATGATGGCAAGGAGTATACCGAAAGAAAGTTATCTTAGTTTTCTTTCAGTTTCTACATAACACAGGTTTCTTTGACAATTGATATCAGGCAAGAGACACATGCATTGAAATTGTACCCATACCACTTCTTGATCAGATTTTCATGGGAAATGAACAAGGGGATATCAGAAAGTTTGTGGATTGAGTGCCTTTTCACTTACCTGCAAGGGTGCAGGGTGCAATTTAGCATACTTTTTCAGTACCCTATCTGTGGTTGTTATGCAATATTTGAGTGGTGTATGTCTAGGCAATATGTAGAAAACTGTCATTAACTGACTAACATGATAATAGCAGTGAAAATTAATGCATCTTTTGAAGTGAAGAAATGATTTGCAATTGCATTTTGTGCACATCTTGGAAAGGTGCTTCTCCAGAATCACCAGATTTCAAGTTGCATGAACCCTGTTCTGAAATAGGTCAGTGGCAAGCCAGTCATGATCCATGCTCTGGGAGGCTGCCAGTATCAGCCCAAGAAGGAAAAACTGACTGGGGAAGTTCATAGACTACCACATGGTCCAGTTACCTGGTGAACTATTAGGAAACTACCCATTCAACAGTGCACAGTCATGCTTTGATTGATTGTTGATGTTGACAGCCTTGCAGAGATCATCAAGTAATCCCTGGCCCCTTTGGAAAAATAAACTTTCTGGCCTTTGAAAACCGACTCCATGGTGCTTTTCCCAATTCAAATCCAAATATCAATCCCACAAACCTGCCACACTTTTAACATGTTCATTTCTGCCAATGATAAAATATGTATGGCTGCTGCTGACAGTGTTATTCAAATATCCTGAATTAGATTGAAGATATGGAGCAAAAATATGTCAAATTAATATGGGTAGGCTACTCAGAGAGCAAGCCAAATAGCATACTGCTCATTTTTATGTTTCAGCCACACAACCCTAAGTTTTAAAAATAAATTCATATTCCCACCTACACTGTGTCTAAAAAAAGGGGGTTAGTTTATTTTCTAAATATTTCCATCTGATATTATGCAAGGCTCAAGCTTTTTTGCACATACTATTTTAGGTGAATCAGAAAGATTTCTGCCAAGTGTAAAAGAATTTCACCCAGTGCTTTAAATGCAATAACTTTCCAAAGTTTAAGGATTGAAAATCGCAATGAATGAGCAATCCACTTTCTGCTTCTAGTCAGGTGCATCAATTTGGTGTTCTCAAAAATTACAGCACAGGCAGCAGGCAGTCTCACTGGTGAAATTGGTTTAGATGAATTCCTTTTATCATATTTATCATTTGATGAGTCTGAGTTTGATCCCTTCTTGATGGGAGGACCAGTTCTTCCACACTCAATATCTCCTACATCTTGGGGTCTACACCTGCTGTTTCCACATTTTCCTCCAATTATTAGTTTCAACAATTTTTTTCAACAACTTATGAAGACCATGATGTGACCTTTTCAAAGAATTTCTTCTTGAATCAGTGAGAGCTGTATCCCTTCATCTCGCCTTTGATGAGGTGCTTGTTCTCTACACTCAATCCCATGATGTTCTCGGTAAGTTTGAAGACTGCAATTCATGGCATGACAAAAACTGTAAAAATGGGGAGTTATGCCTTGGGCCTACAGAAAATGATTATGATAATATAAAAAAAAGGAACCCCAACCCAAACCCAAAGTAACTCCGGAAACAGAGGATGAGAAGTATCAAAAGCCAGTTTCTTCACTGAGACTACCTGCTTCCTGTGCTCAGTTGTGCTGAAGCACTGAAGGGATTCACCTAACAAGGAGCAGTGGGCATATTGGTTGTTCATTGAAATTTTTCATACCTACATTTTGAAAAGTTATTAAATTATTAAATTTGAATCACTGGATAAGATTTTCTTAAACTTGGAAAAAAATTTTCTTATTCATCTAAGATTCCATGAGCTGAAAAACATGAGGCACACATGAAAATAAGATGGAGATTATTTTTAAATTAAATGGCCTCCTTTTTTTGAGACACGGTGTATAATACTATGTTAATCCCCACTATGAATGATTCAAGGGCTACCAGATGTGGAAAACTAGTATGGAGTTCTTGGAGAGTCATCTGTTCCAAAGGTATCATGGTGTTCCACTTGCTTAGCTCCTTCTCATACTCATGAATCCTTGCATTAGATGCAGAGATAAAATCCATGGTCTCCTTTTCCTGAAAGATTAAGAATAGATCAAATTAGAATATCACTATAAATTCACAATAACATTAGAGATCCACAGTAACAAAAAATAACTGGGTTTCACAGCCTTCTTACTGCTTCCTTTTCCAGTTGATCAATCTTGGTAGAATACTTATTTTCAGGATATGGAATTTTCACAGCTTCATATTGCTTTTTCAACTTGTCCACAGCAGCAGCATTGGCTACACGGGTCTTATATGCTTCAAAGTTGAGAGTAGGTGGCTTCTCAGGCAGGGACAGCATCCTTTCGGAAAATAAACAAAAAGTCTCTCAATTGGCAGAATTTACAGAAGGTGTGGTCACCCTTTTTAAGGCTACCACCAGAGGAAAAAATAAGAATTGAATAGTGGCACACAATGATTTTCAGATACATAATCAGAACAACCCTAGATAACAATATTCACTATCTTCTTTGTACCTGCACAATCATCAATCAATACATTTTTGGTGGTTCAAGTGAATCAGTGAACTAACATGTAATACCAAAATGACCCCCGGTATTTAAATACAAAATAAAGAAGCTGCAACAACAAAAATATGGAATATTTAATGTAGCATATGGATTTACAGAAGGAGAGGGTAACAAACAAGACAAAAGTGGAAAAATAGAACAGATGGTCACCAACTCTTGTTGTGGGGCTAACCAAGGTTAGGCCTATTTTAGATCTGTGGAACAGTTAATGTTTGAAGTTAATAATATCACATACCCTAGGTATGCCATACTAGAGTCACTTACTTCCGAAGGTATAGATCAGACTTTCCCTTAAAGGCAAAGAACTGGACTTTTTGTTCAGGAGGGACTCGCTCTGCAAATGTAGCCCAGTCAATGGCAGACTTAGTAATTCTCCGGGCTGCCATATTTTCAAGAATCCACACAATGAAAATCACCTAACCTACTGATAAGAAGACCTGAAAAGAGGAATACCACCAAGTTAGATGCCTGGCCTGAGGGCATAGGGCAAAGAGGACCAAAAGCCTACAATGGGTTAGGCCTCTGGTTCAGATTATAGGCTTGTTCCTTTATTTGCCTTTATTTGCTCATAATTATAGACTTAAATTAGGTTTTCTAAGGCCAAAGAGTGAGAGAGTCAACAAATAGTTAAATAATTGCAGTCTTTGGCCACAACCCTTTTAACCCCAAATGAGCCATCATTCCCTAAATTAGGTTGACTTTCTCACTCTTTTGGTCCTAATACAGAAGGAATGCAGCTAACTTGGTTTGTGTTTATTGTTTCTTCCCTGAGGTTAGTTAGTTAGGGTTTAATGAACACCCAAAAGATCTGATGTTAGTCTGAATATTGAAACCTAAGTGATTACATTATTGAATTTTAGGATATGGAGACAGCAATGGCACTTCTAGTTCCAACAAAAATGAGCTTTCTTGTGGGTGTAAAGTTGCACACTGTCCATCTACATTTCTAGCTGAAGACTTTCAAATATTGTGTCAAACAATGTGTCCTTGTTTCATTAATCCAGGTGCATTTCCTTCAGCAATGAATCATGATTCTTGCAGACTTGAACATCCACTGACTTTCAAATGAATTTGTCTCATCCTAAACTTTGTGCAAGTTGTTCCTATGGTGAATACAGGGAGAGTGAAGGGACATCTATCAGGGAATATGTAAAACATTCTGGCTCAATCAGGAGTGATTGAGCCGGGGTCATAATTATCCCATGTGGCACCCCAGGGCAGGGTGTCATGAACACTGCCAAGCCACCCTCTTAGCAATTTTCCTCATTATGTCTGTCAGTTCCCCTGTACCTTAAAATATTATCTGCAAGTACATGTCTAAGTTAACATCCCCTCAGTTGCGGTGATTCTGAATGGCAAAACCCAGTTGGCATCTTTTTATTCAAGTATACAAAATAGTAATGAGCTCATGAGTATCACAGAGTACACATTGGGTTGCTCATGGGCCTCTCCAAATAACTACAGCATTGCTTTTTCAAGATGCAAAGATGTCAATGGTATGGTCAAAATTCACTTCTTTCGCTACTTGATTTTCAACTGAGAGACCAACGTAGATCAGATGTGTCACGTCATGCTTAAGTTTTCTGAAGCAACTCTCATAAGAAGAAATTGAGGTAGGAAAGGTAATAAAATTCCCCAGAGCAACCTCCAAGTTGGGATATGCATTGAAAAGTCATGCGTATCGAAAGTTGAAACTTCTCATTCCTCCTTTTTATGAGCATCTTTTTACTGTCCAATACTTCCCCCCCCCCCCATTGTGAATCCCATTAAAGAACCTGCACAAGTGATTTCCGCGGAATAGACGATATGAACGCCGTATAACGATTGCCACCATAGGCCACTAATGCACACGTGGGAAACGTTTTTGTCTCCCATACTCCCCCCCCCCCCCCCCCCATTTTTCTCTGCCTCATTCGCTTTTCGTTTGCTTCACCACATTTCTTATGCGGCGCCCGGAGTAGGTGCCCCCTCCCCCCCTATTTACGGCCCTGGGTGGAGACTAGTAGCACATTGATCACATGAAGAGACTTCATTTCCTTATGTCTGTAAGCCAGCCGCCATGACACATTAAGAGTGTGCGACATCTACTGGGCCAAGACAAAAACGTTTCCCACGTGTGCATTAGTGGCCTATGGTGGCAATCGTTATACGGCGTTCATATCGTCTATTCCGCGGAAATCACTTGTGCAGGTTCTTTAATGGGATTCACAATGGGGGATTCATTCATCTCCAGGGATGAGAAGAAACTGTATTTATTCGATGTTGACGGCACCTTGACGCCATCTAGGCAGGTACGTTTGAGGTCGAGCCTGACGCATGCCGCCTTTTCCATTCTTTGATAGATACCTTGAATTTATATAAGTAATTAAACAGTTGCAAATAAGTAATGAACCTCAGGCTCATTTCATGGTAATCTATTAATTTTTTCAGCCAATTGATGATGACATGGATAAATTGCTCAAGCGTCTACGGCAAAAGGTGGTTGTTGGTGTCGTCGGTGGGTCAGATCTGCCGAAAATTGTTGAACAATTGGGCAAGGCCTCTGCTTCGACTGAAGAAGGTATAGTACAGTATATTTCACTTTATTCTGAATTTTTTACTTGATTTAGACACTTTTGCTTAAGGAGCATAAGCACACGACCCTGAGGCAAGTGAAATAGTCAGACCCAATTGAAAAACATTGCTTGAAATATTATGACATCTGTCAATACTGCCTAACCTTAAGTATTTGTCCATGTATTTTCAATACTTACATTCCTATTATCATTTAGTATTGGTTCAAACTAATTTTACATTTTGTTATCAATAGTAATACTGCATTATGACTAAAAATTAGAGTAATAGATTTATTTTTCTCTTAATATTTAGTGGATTATGTAATCCCAATTCCCTTCACAAGGTGTATGTTTCCTTGCGATATATTTGTAGTTCTGCTGGCCTATGACTTTACCTTCTCTGAAAATGGACTGGTAGCACATAAAGGAGGACAACTTCTGGACATGCAGGTTGGTTGAAGATCTAATTATGGCATATAAGGTCCCTTCACAATCAAACTTTTCAGGTATTTCTTTGATATATTGGGATCTTTGAGAAAGAATGCCGTAGGAAACTCCTACCTATAAATACAGGTGTATCTGTGATTTTCATCCATCCAGCAAAAATATTCATGAAAGAAAGGTATCCTCATCCACCAACTTTGTGATTTAATAGATATTAGGCTTGCGTCTTCATATCAGAGTCATAAATTATTTATATTCCGTTTTCCATTTTCAACAAATCCTGACTACAAAAGCTATGTCATCTTTGGATTTTAATTGTAAGACTGATGTATTCCCATAGTTCTTCAAATGACCTAATTTTCACATTCTTGTAGAGCATTGAGAAGCACATGGGAGAAGAAAAGCTACAGGAGATGATAAACTTTTCTCTTCGGTATATGTCTAACATTCACCTGCCCTTCAAGAGGGGTAATTTTGTGGAATTTCGACATGGGATGATCAATCTTTCGCCAGTGGGCAGAAGTGTCACTTTGGAGGAACGGCAAGCTTTTGTCAACTATGAAGCAACCCATCCAGTGAGGCAGAAATTTCTTAATGCTCTGAAGGAGGCATTTCCTCATTATGGATTGGAGTTTGTGATTGGTGAGAAGAAACTGTAACTCAGGAATTTTCTTCATTAATTGTAATAATTGGGTCATTCCCCTTATATTCTTCCTTTAGGAGGCCAGATCAGTGTGGATGTCTATCCAGTGGGTTGGGACAAGACCTATTGCTTGCGACATATTGAAAAGGAGAGTTTTTCTGAGATCCACTTCTTTGGGGACAAAACCATGCCAGGAGGCAATGATCATGCCCTTTATGAAGACCCACGAACCATAGGCCATTCTGTGTCTGGACCTGCAGACACCAAGAACCAGATCCTTGAACATTTTCCAGACTTGAAGTCATGAAGGTTTCCAGAAATGGGGTAAAGGGTATTTCATATATGCTGGGTACAGAGAAAAAAGTGCTACTATTGAAATGTTATTTTCTGAAAAAGCTATTGCTGTGTATGTCCCAATGATATGCATCTACATGTTTTCAATCATTTAAAGTATTTTTAGAATTTTCCTTATGTTTGTTCTGCCATGAAAGCCTTTTAAAGTTTGCTAGTAAAATATTTGGAAGTCCCAGTCCAAGGAGACCCACTGAAGCTGATGCATGACAGGACAGCCTTGAGGTTGGATGACAGCATTGAGCTGCACTTTTCACTGGAAAACCACTCTTTTAGCCCCTTGAGTGGTGAATTTCTTGTATGGAAATTTACAGCTCCTTTTTGAGTTTATGCTCCTATTTTAAGTTCCAAGTTCATATTCAGCTCAAACTCAAAAAAAATGCATGACATTCATGAATGAAACCCATCTAAGGAGTATTTCACTATGACAAATATACATGGTGGCCCAAAAAAGGGCACACTTTTCAATGCACATTTTAGGCATGGTGTTTTAAAGGGAATTTTTTCCAGTGAAATTTTTCTTAGCTGAATTCCAATATTTTTTTTCAAAGTCACCATTTAACCCTTTCATGGCATATGATCATTATAAGGATCATATCTTTTGAGACTGCTCTTGTAGTTACCAATGAACAAAACCTGTTTTATATGGTACCGCTTAATAGCTCTTGAAAAGGGCTCTTCAGTGATGCATCATTCGTTCAAACAGGTTGTAGTTCAAGAAAAGCTGGATCAAAAAGAAAAGTTGTGACCCAATATGTTCGATTTTTTGTGAAATGGAATTTTTGACGAAAAACTAATAATTTTTTTCTTTCTTTTTTTTTTGGAAAAGGTAAAAATATGCCCATATGCTGCAAGAATGAACAGGTAAAATTGGGACAAAGGTCAAGTTTTAGGGGCTCCCCATGTGTGAACAATGGCCAGTCATTCAATATTTTCAGTTAATGATTTTTGTAATTAAAAATTTCCATTTATGAATATATGAGTAAATATTGGAGATTTTCTGCAAGCTCTGTCTTTAGCTAGGCCTGTTCAATAGAAAAAGCAGTGGGAAAATTTCCTAGCTATTCATTTTCTTACTTCAGCCATGAAAGGGTTAAGATATTTCAAGCCCAAAGAAAGCATTTTGTAGCTTTCTTCATTCCATTACATGTAACTGGAAAAAATTTCCTTGAAATTATCATACCTAAAATGTGCATTGAAAAGTGTGCCCTTTTTTTGGGCCACCCTGTATATGTCATACCCACTTAAAAGGGTTAATGAAGCCAGTGCACACTTGTGACTGGAAAACACACATCAATGCTGTTCTGTCAGCCTCAAACAACTGCATGGTCACAACTGACATGATGCTGGCAAGATGATGACTGGCAGGGATTTCTAAAGTTTTACAGGCAAACTTCAAAATGCATCCTAAATGATTTTCCCTGGAAGACAACACACAGATCTTTTTATCCTGGAACATACTTTACAAGAGAGATCACTGATTTCCGGATAAAAGACTTCAAAGATCAGTGCCTTTTTTCTCCCTACCCAATGCGCCCAATATACAGTACTGCCAGAAAGTTTGAGGCAGGTTGCAAAAATGATTCTTTTTCAAGAAAACGACCAAAAAAATGTAAAGTTCTTTTTTCAGATGATATGTAAATGATTAATCATGGTTTTCATTTGTCAAAATTGTTCTTTTGTTTGTTATTTATATTTTTTCCAGACTTGCAAAAGTTTCCCACCTGCCTCAAACTTTCTGGCAGTACTGTATATATATATATATCATCATATGAAATATGATGACAATTTTCAGGTACCTCTCTTGGAAGATTTGCATTGGCAGTTTTTTGTGTTCTTGTTTCTCATGAATATTAGCTGTGATATTGGAACGAAATTTTACCATCTTTTATTCATTCTCAAGCTTGACTCAGCTATAGATCTTGACAAATGATGGCATCAATGATGCATCTATGCTTGATATTGTTGCCATTACATGCTCCAGAGCTGATGTGGAAGAAATTATTTGATCTGATGTAAAAAAAAATTGTTCATTTGCTTGGGTGCAAACAATTTTTTTTGGCTCTATGAGAAACATGTTTTCAGGTAAGTTGGCATTGAGTTACTATTCTCTGCAAAGTAACTTATATCATCAAATTAAAATACAGTAGATGTTGCTTATTATGTTCATTGGTGATTGTTATCAACCAAACTGTGTTATCAAATCTTGAAAACCCATACAAATTTATTTTCTAATAATAAAAATCTACAACAGCATGGAAAGGGCCTGGGACCTATTACTCATACCAGAGTGTGTCTAGCTGACTACTTCATCCAATAAGAGTGATTTGGTCAATAAGTGTACTGAATTCTGATGTTTCATTGATTACTTGTTAAACACTAGAGTTACAAGTTTGTCTGTAATAATAGGAAACACTTTCATTTCAACAAAATGTTCATCAGCCTTTCTCACATCAGGATTGTCATATTCTCATTTAGTTTCTCTTGGCTCACTTTTTCTGTTCTTTTCGGGTGAAGCATTCTTAGTCTCGTCTCTAATGCAATTGTATTTTCAAATAATTTTTGTCACCATGATATCAATAATTACATGCCATGTGGTTATAGAGTGGACAGTACATAAATGGATTTCCTGCTTCCATACCAGTGCCTCATAATTGAATTCATTATAAGGCATGCATAAATGTATTTAAATTGTTTACATTTGCATTATGCAATTGCATACTGATGTACTTCATGATGTAAGTAGGACTAATCCATTTCTGAACTATATGCCTTTATATGTCTTATTGGGCATTCAGTTGATATTAGTGGTGTGGTGATATGTGCTGATATGGTGATATGGGAATTATTTCAATGGTAATAAAAATTTCTGCCTTTGACAAATTTGATCAATGTAGAGTTGCACACTGTGACTCTTTCCTTATTCATTTCCAAGTAAATAGAACCATTCAGCCCATCTGTCAAAGGGAGAAGGAAGAATTTATGTAATAAATGAGTTGAGTTTTCAAGCTGATGGCCATAAGTCTTGTCTTGATTTTTGCTTTTGCTTTTTTCTGTTTCAAGAAACAGAAAAAGGCAATGTCATCCTTTGTGACTGTTTCCTTCTCCCTCCATAAAATCTTATATTCTCATCTTTATTTTTCTCCTCTACCCAAGGCATATTGTAAGAAAAAATCAGAACTGCACAATGATTATAACCCTGTACAGAGTGTGTGGGGGGTGAAAAGGAGAAAAATTAGATTTAGAATCATATTCCATTCACATTTTTGTTTCAAAATGTATTCCTTGCCCAGTTTTGAACTGCACACATTCCCATTCAGAACTGCACATATCTGTTAAAACTGCACATTAACCCTTTCAGTCCTGAATTAAGTTCTAAAATAAATATTTATTAAATTATGTAAAAATAAATTTAATTAATTATATTTAATTAGTTCAACTAGTACTCAATATCCCTATTTTATGTAGTATGTTTCCCAGCATTCCTGTACTACTTTCCATTATCTAACTTGCAAAAAGCAGAAAAAATTGACTGGGAAAGAAATGTATTTGCTGAAATAAATGCAAAAGGTGACACCATTTTTTTGAAGTGATGGAGGAAATACAGCAGCTTCATGTTACTGTGGACTTCTGTCAATTTGACAACATGAAGTGAACTACTGTAAACTGGGACTCAGAATCAAGGAGTTCTCTGGAAAAAGGGCGTATGTGCAAAAGATGCAATTCAAGATAAACTATAAAAACCTCCCATAGCTAATCTGAAGCTGGTCAAAACTTAATTATCAGTTAAATGGTATCATAGACCTTTTTCTTATTGAACTTGGGGTTTTAATGAATTTCTTTATCCCACATAGCTGTGATGCTGGCAGAAAATGGTTATGCACATACGCCCTTTTTCCATATCTGAGCTGCTGAAACTTTTTCCAACAAGCCTTTCACAACTTCATTCCAGTTAAAAATAATAAGTAATCAATAAATGCATCAACAGATTTCAAATGAACTCTATCTTGAAGAATAGCAACAAAATGCAAATATTCAGGACACATTTCATTCACCAATTACTCAGCAGTAATCCATTATTGATGTATTCGTCATCTGAATCTGCAACTATTTCATGGATATCTCCAACTTCTCACATCCTTCCAGAGGCTTGAATGAACCTGCCTCTTTCTTTTCCTTTGTCTGGTTTCTTCCTCATTTTCACTTTCAGTTTAAAAGGATGCAATAATTCCACTAAAATAGTTCAGTATGCAAGAGCTAATGGAATAATCATGGATGCAGCCATATTGAAATAGCCTGGCAGTTGGCCTGCTACATAGTGAGGGCATAGGAAAATCTGCCTCTCCTTTACTGAATACGCATGTTAACTACTTGCTGACCACTCTTTCCTTTGACCAGTCACCTAAAGCAGCGCATGGACATGGATATGGAAAAAGGGCATATGGGCACATACACCCCTTTTCCAGAGAACTCCTCATTTATCCTGCCATGGCCTCAAGTTCATGCATTCCTGTGTAACCCTATAAAATATGTAAAGAAAATGCAGGACTCCTGAGTCCCACCCAGACTGAAAGGGTTAAAATATCACCCTGTCTCTACCCCTTTTCACTCTATTTTGTAGACTAGTTTTTATGGTATTGGTGATTCTCCTTTCTTAATCCAAGTGTATTATGGTAGCAGTTGCATTCTCATTATACTCCTTGAGTCAGGTAGAACTACAACTTTTGCTTGGGTGTCATGTCTCATTGACAGGCACCAAACATTTTATTTTGATAACTCAACTAGTCCCAAGTCTGAAATGATAACTGAACTCTCCACAAATCAGAAAGAAAAAAATAAAAAATCACAGGTGGAAATTTTGAGATGATGACTTTTGAGTCACAAAGCATGGTCTTTAGGACTTGGAAAATCCCATTCTTTGGAGGTGTTGTCTTGAATAAATATCAGCCAGGCGAATGGGTTCAGGAATTCTGTAGTGGCAACAGGTCTTCACTAGCCACACTGCTGTCTCCAGGTCAAAACGATGTCCAACGGAGATGTAAATAGGATTTTTCACTCCTGCTACAGGTTTAAGTGCCTGGAATTCATGAATGCTACCATGTTAACTGATGATCTGAAATCATCATGCCCTCAAAGGTTCAGTCCTCACCATCCCAATGATTTCTTCAGAATCTGTTGAAAGGGGAACAACATCTCCAGGCTTGATGAGCAAAGTACTGCATCTTGCCTTGATGTTTTTATGGACTCCATCAACAAAATGAAGAGACTTGGCCACCCCTATTGTTGGATGATCAGTCAGGACACCTGGTGTAGAAGAAATGGAGATGGAAGTAAAAGCAAATATAGATATACTATTGCATATTAACAGATTCACACCTTGCCAATTACCACAGTGATGATATATTACCACCATGATTAGACTCACCGACATGGCAAGCCAGACCAAATCTCCTGGGATGGAGTACACCATTCCCATCTATGAGAAATGCATCTGGATATGCATTTGGCCTCTCATGTTTGATATGTTGTATTTGTTCTGCAATGGTGTTAGCCTCTTTGAATCCTAGGTAACCTTTGAAAGTAAAAAAAAAAATGACATGAAATTATACCCATGAAGAGTCTATGCATTTAAATCAATATTTCTAAATTAATTAAGCTCCTATTACCAGAAATGTATGGTTCAGTCATTTGAACAATTTCAGTATGAACATGAATTGGCTTCATAGATGGGAAGAGGCAGACAACAATCCCCACACATGCAGTAACAGGATCTCCCTTCACGTATGATACATCCAGTCCTCCAATCATTTTTGGTGATCTATTTGCAAAGGAAAGATATTACCCAGGGAATGGCATTGCGTTAGTATGCAATGTGCCAATCTTCTGCTTACATTTTTTCAGTTGTAGGCCTCTAGTGATTTGCAAATGGATTTATCTACTACCATTGGTGCATTTTTACAAGGGTACAAGGGAGGCAGCCAGCACCCCTTGGTGCCCCTGGCACAGAGACTGGCACCCCTTTAAAGGTAATAATTTTCTCCCAATATCATTCAAGTGGGGTTTGATGCACCCACTCTGCTACCCTTGACTCTTAAACCAAAATATGCCACTGCCTATCAACTTTAGAATTACACATTATGGTGCATCTAAGGCATGGGAATTCCTCACATGAGGTCATTGATCTCAAGTTGAAGTGATGTACAATATCATTTGCAAGTTATTACCATTGAAATATGTAATTTGGATTTGAAAATAACCTTATGAATTGCCACTCCTCCGTATTTGCGAGGATGACTTCAGCCCTGAGGATTTGCTGCACCTCCTGGTAATATTTCAAGGTGTCCTTCCGTGACTGTAGCATATTTCTGAAGGTCCCAAATATTGTGAGCCTGCTGTTGAGAAGAAAAAAGACTGACGTAGGATACTGGCTGCAAAAAAAAGCAAACTCATTATTTAGTTTGTTGGCATTCATGATGAGGCCTGGTCATGCTATGAGAATCATTAGGAAGAGATAACTAGGCCTGTAGGCCATCACGATCCAGACTGTCCAGAAATTAATGGTCAAAGACTTGCTATGGAATCTTCATACCACGCCGTGAATATATTGCAAAGCCAGGCGAGGGTTTCGTAGCAGAGAGAAAAAACACGTGAGATGCACATGGTGCAAGTTAGGTTCATAGTAAGAGGAGCTCCAAGTACGATGTTTGCGTGGCTCTCTGGTAAGCATTGCTAGAACTAACAGCTTCAATGCTGTCATCAAAGAGCTCGCTTCATGTCAAGCGAATCCAGAGACGTTCTTTCGAATGAGCGTAATTGGTACAGTGCCAGAATCCCTAACGTCCCTCTACGAGAATTGGTACCGACAGGTACCATACGTAGGTTGACTGTGTCAGAGATACTAGAACAGGGGTCGGGAACCTATGGCTCATGAACCAATTTTGGCTCACGAGCCGAAAAGTTTGGCTCATTGAGTCATGGCTAAAATTTGTGGTTGTTCCTCATTTACTCATGTAAAAGAATGCACATGTCTGTTGCCAACTTCGGGAAAATTCTGTTGTTTTGAGAATCTTTCGCTCACAAGCACATAGCTCAATCTTAATATGGCTCACACGGCCAAATAGGTTCCCGACCCCTGTACTAGAATGTGGGATACGTGATGGTGAGGAGCGGCATGGTGCCAGGTCCAGAAGCAATATATATACATTTTTCTTCACCCTAACCTAGGGGCGTGCAACCTTAATCGGCAATGGGCCGCATGGGCACGTCTGTCTCCTCACGCGGACCATAGAATGCAGAAGAAAAGGCTCCCCTCCTTTCCCCCCAGGGCATATGAGGGCATAAGGTCGTGTTGATTGGCTGATGACCCCTACCTCATCCCCACCCCTAGGAAATTTCAACGCCCAAAAATAGCTCTTGGCATTGCGAGCCTCCTTCCTCGAGACGTAGGTAGTTACGCCCGCGTGAGGGAAGGAGGGTTTAGGGGAAGGAAGTGAAAAGACTTAGTCTATTTTTAGTTACTGAGGGATGACCAAAGTTGTGATGGGGCCTTGGGCAGCAAAGAAACGTAATTTATCATTATGCGTTACCGGACCGCAAGAAGCAGGTCCACGGGCATTCATTGTTTCATCTCTTCATCCCCCCAAGAATCTCTTCATTTATGGCGCAGCCTACACAAATGGCTAAATTTTTGTTATCAGGGTCCATTGGACCCAGAACGGTTGTTAGAGGGTTAATGTTTTTGTTTTGCATGACAGTTCTCACTGCGGGACGCGAGGCAGACAGTCGAAATTCGAAACTGTTCCGCAGACACCACTTGGCGCCAACTCCATCAGTACGTACCGTGGGAAAGCGAAAAATATTATCATCGTTCTGAGATGTTGTCACGATGGCTGCCCCTCCCCTGCAATGTCCAATCAGTAACAGAAAGAACTGGTACAGCATAAACCGACGTGTGAGGCTGCATGTTACACATGCGAACGAAATGCATTTTGGGAGCAGATTCTAAGTAGAACAACGGAGAAGTGTCTTGCCATTACTACGGTAAAAACCAACCGTTTCGTGAAAACCCCCTCAATTGTAGAATACTGAGTTCTGGGCGAAAATTAAGGCTATAAGAGTATCTTTAGAGACTGGTTGGAAATTTAGGCATTTTCTCTTGGCACGACGGCACAGCATAGGAATTCTAAGATTGGAGCTCCCACTCAATGACAGTACCGCAGGCCTCTCTCGAGTTATCTCTACTATTGCATCAAATCTCTTCCGGAGAGAAGAGGAGACAACATTCTAATCTCGAGATGAGTGGAATTGGAAGTGGAAGTGGCCCCGTTTCAGAGGAGGAATGCCGGAATCGGAATGGAAACGAACGTGATGTAATCGGAAGGGAAGGAAGGAATAGTGAGCATGCGTCGCCTTCGGCATGCGTCAGTGGTTCCCCCATGCCCATATATGGTCAGAAACGTGGCTCTCGGCTCTCCCATTGGCTGATCCCTGCCGGCAGTCTCCCCACTCCCATTCAATAGATCTCAACCGTTTTATCTGCATTCTGTTCCGTTCCTTTCCGGCTTCACCGGTCTCTCTTCCTATATCTACATGGCGTGTTTTTTTTAGTAGCATTTTTTCCCTGTGCAGTGTGATGATGAAGGTGATTCTGGACAAAAGGTGTATTTTTTAAGCCAGCTTAGTTGACCTCGGTCTTCAGTTGCGCATTTCATAGCTGTTATTGCCCTACTTGTATCGATTGACTAGCCCAGCTCAGGCGGGTTGAACTGGGTTGAATTGCGCAACTTCGTTTGATTTGTGGCACTTCCACTCCATGCCCATCGCCCTCTACAGAGTGGGCCAGCCCTACGTTGTCCTACACTGTGATTTATAAGTGAAGTCAGGTTATCTAATCTATAAATTGGGCACCACATATTTTTTTCGGTACAGTTATCTAGGATGTACCACCGGGATTTTTAAACTTTTGCCATGGGAACTGATTTACGAGTTATTCAAAAGTTTTAGTACGCTAGGCCTCCGTCAATTGACCGATTTCAGGCATTTCGGTGTAGGAAAATCAATGATTTGCTAATGTTAGGCATAACCATAACATCTCCATCATTTCAGGTCGCTCTTAGCCGACATTCCCGTGGTCTCCTGCCTCCTGCTCAGCCTAGCTTGGCTAGCCTGATTTGAATAACTTCTAGTGAAAGGTATAGGCATTGGCCTGCAATTAAAAAATGGCAGACGAAGACGTTGCTGCATTGGTTGTTGACAATGGGTCTGGAATGTGTAAGGCTGGCTTTGCTGGAGATGATGCCCCGAGGGCTGTATTCCCATCCATTGTTGGAAGACCAAGACATCAGGTGAGTCCAGCTTTGCTAGAATTCCCTCGACAATGAATGCTTCTTGAATCCTTGTCATTCACAGTGGAGATGAATTTCCCTTAAATGTTCTGTCCTCCAGGGTGTCATGGTTGGAATGGGACAGAAGGATTCCTATGTGGGAGATGAGGCTCAAAGCAAGCGAGGCATCCTCACCCTGAAGTACCCAATTGAGCATGGCATTGTTACCAACTGGGATGACATGGAAAAGATTTGGCATCATACCTTCTACAATGAGTTGCGTGTAGCTCCAGAAGAACATCCAGTGCTGCTCACAGAGGCACCACTGAATCCAAAGGCCAACAGGGAGAAGATGACCCAGGTCTGTTATCTGATTTGGTTAAATACATAGGTAATCCTTTTTCTTAACTGTATTTTTAATTAAATTTTTTTCTCTTTTCTAGATCATGTTCGAGACCTTCAACAGCCCTGCCATGTATGTGGCCATCCAGGCTGTGCTATCCCTGTATGCATCTGGCAGGACAACTGGTATTGTTTTGGATTCGGGTGATGGTGTGTCTCACACTGTGCCCATCTATGAAGGTTATGCCCTTCCTCATGCCATCCTTCGATTGGACTTGGCTGGCCGAGACCTCACTGACTACCTTATGAAGATTCTCACTGAGAGAGGGTATTCCTTCACTACTACAGGTGAGGAACTTAGAGTACTAAAGAGTTGGAAGAAGGCCTTGAGTTCCACTTGTGTTGATCCCTTTGGTAACTGGTTTTTAGATGCTACTCTGTAACTGCTACATTATCCTTGAAGTGCTTTGATAATTCTCTCTAAGGTTATCATTACTCCTTATTGACCGAATTTTGATGTTTCATTCTTGATGTATTGGTTCTTGCAGCCGAGAGAGAAATTGTGCGAGACATCAAGGAGAAGCTGTGCTATGTTGCCCTCGACTTTGAGCAGGAAATGGCAACAGCTGCCAGCAGCAGCAGTCTGGAAAAGTCTTATGAGCTGCCTGATGGTCAGGTGATCACGATTGGAAATGAGCGCTTCCGTTGCCCTGAGGCTCTCTTTCAACCCTCATTCCTGGGAATGGAATCTTGTGGAATCCATGAAACCACCTACAACTCCATCATGAAGTGCGATGTGGACATCAGGAAGGACCTGTATGCCAACACAGTGCTGTCTGGAGGTGAGGCATCCCACTTAGCAGAATGAAACATGTATTGTCAGAATCGCAACCTTTACTAAAACTAAGCACTTTTGACATTTCTTTTTTCAGGAAGCACCATGTTCCCAGGAATTGCAGATCGCATGCAAAAGGAGATAACATCTTTGGCTCCATCTACCATGAAGATCAAAATCATTGCTCCACCAGAGAGGAAGTATTCAGTTTGGATTGGAGGGTCCATTTTGGCATCTCTTTCCACATTCCAGCAGATGTGGATTTCCAAGCAGGAATATGACGAATCTGGGCCATCAATTGTTCACCGCAAGTGTTTCTAGTCGCCTCTGTTCCCCATTCCTTCCATGGGCTCCTGTGTTGCTTCATTCCATGCTACAGATTTTCTGTCATTCCATGAGGCTTTTCAATAAAGGTTCTTTTTCTTCGTCTCTGATCTAGAGACTTTGTTATTCTGTTTGAGATATAAAAGTATGCAAAGTTAACATAGGTATTAATGAGAATGATGGGAGAAGGAAAGAGGCTTGCCCCTCCATATTCCTCTTTAGGAGGCAGTAAATGGGTAGACATTTAAAAGGTGACACTTTCCAGAATTGGCTGCTCCGATGGGAACTACTTTCTGTAGGAAACCAGGGTGAGGGGTACAGTTTTGCAGCGGCAGAGATGAGAAGTTCTTCGTTACTTATAAAAAAAGGAAGAAAAAGGTTATCGGGTTACGTGTCCAGCAAAGGAAGAGGTAATTTCTAATCTGTTTTAGATTCGCAGAGATCAGGTATGGTGAGGGCATCAGTGAACCATTGTTAGCAGTAGTGTGCCCAAAAAATCCCAATGGGGGTTGACATTTGGAAAAGTTGGTGACACTCTGAAGATATGGCCCAAAAATTGTTTTTATGGGAATGGAACCCGTAAAATGTGTCCCGAGGGGGTTATGACCCCCAAACCCACTTCCCCCTTGGGCACACCACTGATAGTCTGTGATTCTGTCGTATTCCTATTTTGACTAGGTGCTTGAGCTTAGCTGTATTTGATGGAGACGGGTGGTGAGGAGTAGTGGTGCCTATCATGGTTCATATTTATTCTACCATATGAGCGCAGCAGCTGAAATAAGCCTTCAAAAAAAGTCTGTGGATTTGCTATGTCTGGGACACACTCCATTTTCCCGCTCGCTATCACCATGTCGAGGTTTCTGCAAGTTTCTTCATGTATCATCGTGAATCAAAAGAAAAGGGGAGAGCTTTCCAACGATGTAAAATTCATTATTTACATGAAAATTTCGAGCAATGCATCGGAAAAGAAATTGAAGGTATTTCACTCTAGGCCCTTGGAAAAGCGCTGCCTTCTATTCGGAAGGGAATTTTACCAGCCCCATACTGATTAGTGTATCTGTCGGAACACATGCGCTGGCGCTCTGCCCTACTTTTCCAGCTGATATCGCTCCCGTCAGAGACCTTGGATTTTGGGCGTAGATTTTGAATAATGAAGCGTTATGCATAAACCGTGAAAAGCAGTTATTCAATAGCCCATATAAACTATTCAGTGGTTTCTAATGATTCTCAGACATTGAAAGTTAATTAGCAATTAAGCTTGGTTTTAGCTAATTACTGACATTTTATGACAAGAAAGCATGATAATAATTCATGCTGACGCTCTTATTGAGCTCGCGAAAGAAGACCTATAGAATATTTATTTTCTTTGGGAATAGAGTAGACTCTTTCGCAAATTTTAATAAAGATGATCTCTTCCTGGACTTGGCAAGAAAGTAATCGTACACTCTACTTTCAACCAAAATACCAATCATTTATCTGCTCCTAATACTTATTTTATTAATAATTTTCATAATCAATTACTCTTTTAAATCTTAAAATTTCGTTGATTAACACCTATGGGAGAAAAAATATATATTTTGCAAATATTTGTTCATTCGAAATTGACTGGTTAGTTACTGTGCATGATCTCATGCACTTGATATATAAGAACAATGCCATGGTCTTTCATTGGTCCCTCAAGGGTTTCCTTACTCTTTCTTCTAATCTCTTTCCTGAGTGAAATGAGCAGTGAGCGTTGACAGGAATGATGATATCGTGGGCGTTTTTCCATTTGGTACCGACAGAGAAAGGTGAAATATGCAGAATCGCACAAAAACACGCATTTATATGCCTTTCGTATAAAGGGAGCCAATCGCTTCCTCTCTTTGTATTACATGTTGCTGTCTGGCTCGCATGGCCTGCTAAACTACTGGGGAAATACGTGTGCGAAAAATTTCGCTCCCTGCTCATGAGCCTTCCACGACGACACAGCTGCAAGCACGTGTTTGAACCCGTAGTGCGAATCAACGCCAGAAACTAGTTAGAGCGTGTCTATTACAAGCGCTAGTGCTTTCTCGGTCTGCGACGGTCCACTTATTTCGAGCAGGTCTGATTTCTTTATTTTCCACCGGAGCTCTCTGAGCGCGGGGCCTCGGGCCTCGGGTACCCGTGCAAAAATCCCCCACGTCTTATTAAGGAATTTTGGCCACTCGTTCTTGAGAGGCTTGCTAGGGATGTAGAACGAATGACGTCATCAATGACGTCACCAATCCATTTGTCAAAAAGCGGCGAACTCGTGTAGGGACCCATCCAGTCGTTCTCCCAAGAACGTGACCGCGATGCAAAGATCCACCAATGAAGAAGGACTCGACAAACTCGTGAGCTTCGGTACAACCTCCCGCGATTCGTTTGAGTCAGTTGCTGGTTGGCGCGCAGATAAAGCAGTTGATTTATTCCCCCCTTTGTTGAAGTTGACGCCTAATCTAGTTGCACTTTAAATAGGCCTACTTGCAAGCCAACGAACGAAATGGCCTGATCCTTGGTGCTGTAAAACGGATATTCACGTTCTTTACCAGACCTAAGTAAGCGCTTGACGAGTTTCGAGTAAGCCCATTATTGCCTGCAAAGGATTGCTTGTCTTCAATTTCATTCGATTGATGTGGTGAACATGTGGATGTCTCCCTGCTTGTTTCCTAAGCTCAATAGAGAGCCTCCTCGAAATTCCACATGCAAACAATGCAGTCGTTAAAAGGGGTGAAACATATGTTACGCATGCATATCTGGGTATTTGCAGGTTCACGACATTGCGCCATGGCTTCGCTACAGGGTCTAGGACAAGGGTGGGCAGGCTTTTTAACATGCGGGCTACATGACAAAACACTGAAGCCTCACGGGCCACAGAAGCACCAAATACTCGAAATTAATAATAAATTAAACTTATTAACATCTCAGTGGGACACGTGCAGCTGCCCACAGTTTTTTTTAAATGAGTTTTTCGAAGTCAGGTGTCATTTCTGACACGGAGATTGGCAGTACTGCACTCAAATGTTGGCCAGTGATTTTTATCCTCAACTTTGATTTGTTGCTGTTCGACGAGAACGTTTGCTCGCGAACATAAGTGGAACCGAAGAGCACCAGCATTGTCTTGGTATGTTCTCGCAAGTTAGAGAATTTTGTTTCATTCAGTGATGAGTTATACCAGAGTTGAACTTTTCCTCGTGAGGCAAATCGCACTGTAAGTCCATCAGTTCCATTTGAAGATCATCTGAAGCTTTCATAAAGTCAAAGGTTAATGGACAAGACAGCAGCTTGAGCTCCTCGATTTTCTTGAAGTCGAAAAGCCGACTGCAAAACTCGCGTAAATCCCTCAACATCTTGCTGCACTTGCCAGTCGTATTGAAGGACACGCGATACTACGCAAAAGTGGGGAAATGCGAAAACACGGTGTCCTTCACGTCTCGAAAACGGGAGTCTCTCGACTTGGAACGTTTTTAACAGTTGAGTTGAGTTCCTGTACAAACATTCCCTTGTCTTGCAGTTTCAGATTCAAGTCGTTTAAATGCTCCATAACGTCCAGGGCAAAAGCAAAGCCAAGAGAGCCATTATGTGTCTTGAACTTTGGGAAATCATCTTTACCCTTCATTTCCAAAAATATGATGATTCCTTCCTTCAGTTCCCACGCTCTTTTCATCGCTTTTCCTAAACTAGGCCAACGGAAATTATTGTGATACGCAGTATCGGCGTGCTTCGCAACGATGTTTTCAAGCAGAGCAGTGAATTGCCCCCTCGCTCGAATGAAATTGATAAGCTTAACGACTGTGCTTACCGCATGCTTCAAATTCGGAACAATTTTACAAAGCACCTCAAGATGGCTGATGCAATGGCTCTCTTACGTAATTGTGCTGCCGAGTCTGCATCAATCTCTTCGCTGCGACGAACCATTGTACTCCTTGAAAACTGCGACGCCCCTGGTGGCAAATCAAGCAAACCGCATTTGTATCCACGTCCGTGAAAGGAAATACTTCGCCGTCCACTCATTATTGAAGATTCAACATCCACTGTCAACTTTACTCTTCTCGGAGTCACTCATATTGCAACGGTAAATATATTCGAAATGTCACAAAAGTCAGGAATACAAATCACCACCAAACGACTAGTTCAGACACACGGACGAATACGAGCCAGGGCAATGCTGCCAATTGTTTGCTCGACCGAGCCTGCCTAGCAAACAATTGGCAGTTTTATCAGAGAGCAATATGGATTTTTCCTGCTGGTTTTGGCTGTTAGGTTTAATTTTTCCTCTATATCCCGGAGGGAATTTTCCTACTTGTGACAACAATATGAAGAGCTGTTCGCTTCACTGCACTGCAAACTTGACAGCCCGTATATTTGATTATTTGATCCTTGGAGGGGTTCAAATGGTCGTGCTGGGCGGGGTATCAGACCTGTCATCGCGGGCCGCATTTCGTTTCTGCACGGCAACAGCTGGCGGGCTGGTCGAAATGCTGTCGGGCCGTAGTTCGCCCACTCCTGGTTTAGGATGACAGATTGGACGCCGTTTGTAGAACAACTAGGCCTAGATGGAGATCCGTGGAAGTTGCTCCCCTCCATTTCGGATCTCAAATGCGTAGCCAAAGTGCCTTTCGGAAAAGAATTTGAATGCATGGTAATGCGCTTCTTATTCCTGTTCTAAAAAAGGGTAACCAAATCTTCGATTACCTTCGGAAGGAAGAAGCCATATATGGTTATTCCAGCAGTGCAATCTTCTTCAATTGGACAGGAATTGGAATCTCCGGCTGTTGCAAGCAAGAGGATGAACCCTTATCAGTTATACAGTGTGTTTCAAAAGTCGTGCAACCCTGTATAGAAACAAAAACCGTTGTATATATTACAGGAATAGTTGTTTTATTCGACTAAGACGATGAATTTGTAATGAGATTTATATCTGCAGGTAAGATTTCTTCAATTAATTGACTCGCTGTATTTTTCATGATGTAATTGTACACTGTATTTTGTGACAATATTGGGTTGTGCGACTTTTGAAACACACTCATCCTGCTTTTTCCGAGAGGATACTGGGAGAGAGCAAACTTACGGATGTGGCTGCTATCTCTCCTTCCTGTTGGTTCTTACTTTATCAGGCAATAAGTTCAGGGTTATCGCGTCTTGCTTTCACTTACGTCTTTGATGAAGTCAGCGCCATTATTGGATGCAGATAATTCATGATTGTCATTAAAGAGTGCATGAGTCATTGAGAGGGTCATGCAAGGATACCCAGCACACTCAGTTCATTTTCCCATGCCCTACGAGGTGGGCACAAAGTCCCTTTGCAGTGAAATTACAGCATATCTGTATGTTGCCCTCAGCACATTGTTTGATCCATGTCCATGTTCTCTTAGACATTTTCTTCCACGTTAAATGCTGAGTATCATAAAAGCAGTCTCTGATGGCTGGTTTTAGGTCCTCGACATTTGTTAGCCGCAGTTTGGAAAAATTCTCCTTCACAATGCCCAAAGTGAATTATCGCATGTTGTCAAGTTTGGGCTTCGAGATGGTCATGCCATATCAGACCCTCGTCCAATCCTTCGTCCACTTAGTGTGTTAGTAAGATATTCTGGAACTGCGAGAGCATCATGGGCAAAATTGAACAAAAAACATGTAGTGAGAGCACATTGTTTTTCATGTTAAGGGACTTCTTGCGACTTCCGATGTGACGTATGCAAATGAGTTGCGCAAAACGGGGGGGGGGGGTGGTGGAGACCTTGCAGGGTGGCTTCACTACGTCTGCCTCTTCCTCCAACGTAAGCGAAAAGAAAATCTTTAAGAAAAAAAGAGGAACATAATTAAATTATTGTAATTTGAGATATTCCTCGAATCTAGTCGGATTTCAAAGACAAGTCTGACTAACTCAATTGTGGGGTTTCTGATTGAGCTCCTTTGCATTGACACCAATTGATTCGACCATCATTTCTTAGAAAATGGCTGATCAGAACCATCCCCAACGAAAGGCCTGCCCGAGAAAGGACCTTTAATCGATTTCCATGTTCGTCTTCTTTTGGATTATTTTTTTTTAGCCTTGCGTCAATAAAAATGAGTTTAGGAGAATGTCACCAGTCTCACGAAAAGTTAGCCTCGGGACATTTTGAGGAAAAATCCGGAGCAAAGGCAAAGATTTCTTGCTTAAAAGTCCAAGGGCTTTATTCCACTATTTTCTTAAGTGCGATTTCCCGCTTAGCTGGTATTTGCCCTATTCAAATGTACGAGTATGGACGAGGTTGATGAATTTGCATTAATTAGGGCTGAGATTTTAATAGGATACTGCCCCTGGTATTTTTTCCCCATATCCTGTGAAAAATAAAGAAGTGTCTGAATGAGGACCCGAATGGGGAGCGTATCAAAATACCGAACAGTTATTCGTCGAAATTCATATCGCCGAAAACTCGAAATGTCGATTAATCAAATGGACGAAACTCTAAACATCGAGTAAATTGGCCGAAAGCACATTTCGCCGAAGCAAAATCTTTTCGATGAAAGCTGATTTTCATCGAAAGATTGAAATGCCAGAATATAGCAATTTTTGAATCATGGTTTTACTGCAAAGTCAAGGTCAAATGGTCGAATGTGAAAGACACGGATATTTGCACTCATCTCAAAGAGAAACATTATAGGAAAGACCTCTCAAGAAAGGCATATTGCAGCGATCCCCATAGGTACGCGTGATTGTCAGAATTCTGCTGTTCTTGTCAATCTCTGTTCTCTTTTTCCCTGGAATGTGGTCCGCTTCCAACTTCAAAATGACATGCTCTGTCACTGACTGTTCTACTTTGAGCTGTAACAAGAATGCGTAAAAATGCATGTGCTTTCCAAATAATGACAATGCCCGTCGGTGCCATGCCTCAAGATTGTTTGTTGTTCGGGGCTCACTGGAGAGGGTTCGATCTCGAACATTCCACAGCTGCGGTGGATAGACAGCCTCATTTCTGGCTCTGCCCCGTCGTCTTCTTCCAGCTTTCGTTTCCCGGAAATACTGCACAACAGGTTTGGCTTCAGATGGCATGGTTGCTTCCAATTCAGCAAATACTTTCTGGACGTCTTCCACTGGAACGAAGGCGAGACATGTCATCATACGAATCTTTATGGCAAAGTCATCATCTTCTCTGTAGAGCTGAGTTAGGCCCAGTTCGTGAATTTTCCGCCACATGCTCTGGCAGAAATGATAGATAAACAGGCCTTGTGCCCAATGTGAGGGAAGTCATAAGCCATTGCTGCAACTACTCCCGATTCAAAATCTGAGCAGAACGTTTGTAAAGAAGGGGAACCTGATAGGGCATTGATGATGACTTGGAAAGCAGAAGTATAAGTTTGTCTGGTCTTGTCTGGTAGTAGGAGGTAAGCGAGAGGGACGACGCGGCCATGAACAGCAGCGTGGATCGAATGAAGTTGAGCAAAACCGCCATCCCGTGCTCGCGGTGCAATTCCGAACGTCCTTACCAAGTGGTTGCATGCTGAAGGTATTCCAAATTCTTTGGGGTGGCGAAAATCATCATCCGAAGGGCATTGTGCACATGATCATGAACGAGCCAGTCCACACCCTCCGTTGTACAGCGGTAGCTGCCGTCAACCTGAAGATCTGCGACTGTGGGTGGCAATGCTGGAATTTCTGTTCTCCTCTTCCTTAGAGCATCCTGTTTCAAGGCATTCAGGGATGGGGCGTATCCTCGATCTGCTGCCTTCAACCCAAATATCTGAAATAGCAAACACAGACGCTAGCTTGCGTAGGTCTACTTACTAAACAAAGGTGCAGCCCTTCATGGAATTAAAAAAAAGTCTTAAAGTGTGATGAAGTCTGAATTGAATTGCTCACCGAATCAGGAGCCGCTGCAACGGAAGCCATTAAGTGCTGAAAAATGGCATTTTTCACATTCCAGGCAACTTTCTTATTCACAATTTTCTCCCTGGATGGACCGTGCCCTGGGTGCTCTATAGAGGGGACTTCACCATATCTTTTGAGTCCATCAGTGTCACAGCCGTTTGTCGGCAACCGGGCTCCGCGCATTTCCAGTATTTCTTCCCGCGAAGCGTCCAGGAGTAGTTCAAGGTCAAGAACATCAACGTCCCATGTTCACTTAGTAACTTCATAGCCTTGATAACTTAATTTTGCAAAAGACTCTTTGGGCTAATTGAAGCTCTTACTTAACGTTTTATATCAGCCTGACTAGTAGCGGACAACGATTTCATGCAAATAAAAGGTTGTCTTAGTGCTAGGAGCAAACAGGTGTAGAAATATTGGGGGAATAATAATAAAAAAATCGTAAACCTAGCGTGCTCAATCTATAAGGCTGAATGATTCTTCAGTGCCTCGCCTTGTTCTTCAGGAAGAGATATCCATGTATCACCAACATATCCTGCCCTCGTTGAGACTTGATTATTTCAGACATAATTCAAATGCAAAATGCACAGCAGGATGCAACCAGACAGTAACCAGGGCACAACTGACTAGACACATGACTCGAGACGGTCCAAAAAAGAAGAGAATAAACCGGTATTTCTTTCGGCCTTGTAAGCCTTCAGCGAATTGAGCCATTCGATCTCCAGACACTTCTATGAATGAATCCTTCGATTCGCGTAACCGTTTTTCGACCAAATGTCTATTCGTCGATATAAGTTTCGATTATTCGATACCAACCCGTTGAATGCAGTAGAGGGCACCCACCCGAATTTCAGTCTCCATGCTCATATGCGACCAGTTTGGATCCTCTCTTCTTCCATCGACCGTTGGCTCTGCTCAGCTCTCTGGGTTAGTGGAATTCAGGCATGTCTCAATCAAAATGGAGTGGCATCGTTCTATTGGTCGGACGATAAAGGTTGCTGTCTAGTCTAATGAAAGCCTTCGTAACTTGTCGCACCGATTCGATATAGATAAAAAATGAAGTGAACGTTTCAATGAGAATATTGATCACTTCGTTTGGGATCACTGTACTATTAGATTGCACGTATTTCAAATATTTGCTCATTTACGAATTCAATAATTTGATTTATGCTCATTTACCCTTTCCCAGCAGCGCATGTTTTTGCGGAATCTTTCCCCGCTCTGCATGCAGATTGCTGCTAGAGAGAACGAAGATATATGAGGAGCAGTAAAAATTTCAGAGACGGTTGAATTAAAGCGTAATTTTTTTTATGAAGTCGGCTGGTGGGAGTACGGCACAAAAGCACGAAAACTATACCCGCAGCTCAGGGAGACTAGGTAAATAGCATCGAGACATCGTGGAGAGAATGTTACACGAAATACCTGGCTCAAATAGTCGTGACTGACGTGACGTCATGCGCATACAGAGGAGCTGCAGCTATCTATAGGATGAGCATAGATGAGGCAGCCATGAAGCAGGAAGTCCATCCCTCGCATTCAAATCATTAGTGATGAAATTGCACCATTGCTACTATCTGCTGCGGAGGGTCCATAACTTTACGACGTCTCTCGACTCGAGAGCTGATTATCAGCGCTTTACGACTGTCTTCTACAGTATTTTCGGATTCATTTTTACCTTCCATATTCCCTTAACTTTGGCTCTAGCTCCCCCAATGCTGGTGTAAATGCTTCAGCCCGCTACCTCCCCCCCCCTTCCCCCCTTCCCCCCTTCCCCCCTTCCCCCCTTCCCCCCAAGGTCGAGAAGTTACGGAAAGTCAAGCCTCCCTCCCCCTCTGTCCCCCTTAGCCCCCTCTTTGGCGAAACCCTGGCTCCGCCATTACTTCCTTTGCGCTGTCAACAGCACTCTAGAGACACCTCGTTATCGCAATCGTCATTAATAACGAAAGGGTACAGCGATGAGAGAAGGCCATGGAACGACTTCCCATCTGAAGAGAGGAACTGAGAGGTACTCGACACTAGAGCCCGTAGAAAAGTATGAAGCTCATGCGAACGGGAAAAAATTCAGTCTGACAGCATGGTGTCCATTCAAAGGCTGCACTGCAGTGCAAGCAAATGATGTCGCGTCAACAGCGTCTCCTGCGGGTACGTGTTTCTTTCGTATATCGTTCTTCTCATGTCCTAATGGAATTCCTCTAGTTTCACTGGGCTGTGGTCCATAATTTGCCTTTTAGTGTCACACACCTGAAGACCGACTTGATAATGAATGACCCTGACATGCATCCTAGGGAAAAACTGCTTCTACCTTCACATATTCGCCATCGTTATGTGAACATTGGAAGATTCACTGCTTCCATTCTTGTTCCTATTTTCGATTCGACCATATATGCTGCATTAGGCATGGTTTTTGACAGCATTCCCAGACTGCAAATTGCCATGGAAATTTTCGAAGGAGAAGGCGATGAATACTGCGCACCACTTGCAGGCCTGCTTCTGTGTAAAAAAAAAAACACTGTCTGCAAACATGTTGACTATTGAACAAAAAATTAATGCATAGTTTCTGGATATTTATATCAATTTTGTCCACCATATTGCGTAAGACAGTATCAGGTAGAGCCAACGCTAAAAGAAGGAAGGAGAACACAGATGTTTCTCACAATTTGTCCTGATTACACAGTTCGAATGAACAAGAGCATTGAGCAAGTTGTATCAACCATATAACAAAGTCAATCAAAGTCAAAGTCACTCAGCTTCTTTTTTTTTTTACCACGCCTTGCATAACAATGAAGGCAACTTATTAAAAGTTTATTGTGTGCCGCTGACCCTTTCTTGAAATTATCATGGCTCAATCAGCATTTCATGCTGGCATCACTCACTTAAACCATGTTCGGAATTCCCCGTGAACGCCCCAAGTTTTCATGAACTCCACCCACTTCTAATCCCAAGAAAAATCTGGAAGGGAAAACCATCACTGCTTGTAATATCTGGGACGCTTAAAGGCTCAGGTGCTTGACACGCAAGTGCATGACATTTCTCATTCGTTTACTTCTTCGAGTTCCTGTTTATTTTTGTTCCCACTTTCGCATCTGGACGACCTCGTGGGTCATAGATCTACTTTCATGTTGAATTTCTTCTCTCTACTCTCCACAGATTGTGGGACTTTTAAAGCACCCATCCCCACTAAAAGATTAAACTTATTTTTTATTTCGCTTCGATACGGCGTCGGTATAAAAAGGAGCCACGTCGATGCTCTCACGCTCAGTTGCGCCGTGGATAAGAGAGGAGGGGACCGTGTCTAGCGAAAGACAAGAGGAGACGCACTCGTGAAGTACGTGACCTATTTATAGCTTGCTCTGCTTGGTCCTTTGCGAGGACAGATTTTCTTTCTCGCTTTTCGAAAATCCCTTTTTGTTTTAAGATATTAGCAGTTTTAGATTCTTCTCGTGGTTTTAGAGACTTTTGGAACAGCAAACTCGGCCAAAAGCTGGAAAGTTCGACTTTACAGATGGAAATTCTTACACGGTTATTGTACTCCATTATGCCAAATTTCATTTCTGCGAGTTTCTAACAAATTCCAGAATCGATCATGACCATCCCTGCATCTAAATGCGTGAAAAAATTCTTAAAAAAATAGAGGAAGTGGGGGGGGGGGGGGTAATAGATAGCCACACTTCCATTTCCTTTTCCTCTTCTTTTATCTTGGTTCGGAAGAACGCTTGCGTTAAGGTTTCCAGCTGACGTGAAGGAGGTTAGGCAGAGAACGTGGAAAACCTAAACTCTTTCCTCTTACCCACGTACTTCACTTAGCATATCTGTTATGCGTGATTGCCAATTTCCTGGGTTGCGCAAGGATTTGGCCAATTTTATAATATAAACAACCATTGTGCTCATTGAATGCGACTAGCAAAGTTTTGGAAAATTGCATGCAATGGGCAAAAATGCTTTTGATTGCACGCGTTGAACAACAGTTACATTTCTTTCTTTTCAATGAAAAAATGGCACATTTTTGTGGAAATATATCGTAATCCTGACTTCCAGTTGCGTATTAATGGTATCCATAGCACTTCCGGAGAACCATTGCGCTGCGATCGAGTAGCACACCGCACAAAACTAAACAGACCGAGGAAATTAACACGAATAGCGAGTTTCCAAGCTTGCAGGAAAACCCTAAAGACCGTCGCACACGTTCCAATTATCTGTATCTTACGCGTCGGAAAGAAAATTAATCCCCGAAAGCGGACTCGATTGTGGTATCCGCACTCGGCCGGAAGAGGATTTAACTGATCTGACCAGGCAGACACTGAAAGCCAATCAGAATTTGCGAAAGTTCCTTATTGTGCTCGCATGCAGTCATGGATGTGGAAGATATTGAACGGTGTTTCTCTGACTCATTCGTCTTCCGGAAGAATGGAGCAGAACATCGAGCTGGCAAAGGCTTTTACGCCGTTATCCGTTGAATTCGGTAGTTTTTTTCCACTCGATTCTGACAGGTTTTTAGTCGACTACAACATCATGGGGTGAATGTGGTGATTAAGTTGAAGTCAGTCAGCTTCGGAAAGGTGGGAGACAGGGGAATCGTTTTGAATTCGAGTCAAACGTTGTAAAGTAGAAGTCGTTGCTGCACGTTTCAACCAAATTTATGGCATTGCCATTGGCATCCTCGCGAGGAGCCGCTTCTCTACGGCGTGGCATGTTTTCATCATTTTCCTGACGTGCAGCATAGATCGAAGCATCGGATCAAGTCGCACAAGCCGTCGATTTCCCATCCGACGCGTTGAGCAGATGGAAGATGGGAAAGCGCAGAAGATGCACTGGAATGTTCGATTCCGCACGAAGGACCATCAGATACCACTGCACACGACCGGATATTGACCTTTAAACAATATTTAACAAAGATAAAATTTTCAGTTATGGGTGCAAAAGTGTCGCGTTTCTTCTTCGCTCTTCCACTGCAATGTGGAGTGCAATCATTTGTGACAGTACGTGGCGCCAAGGATCCAAGGAAAGTCTCTTTTCCCGAGAAAAACATTGGGAAATCTCTTTTTCATCTGTTTCCATTTCGATTCCATCTGTACCGCAAATTATACTTTCTTTTACACAGTAGCAACTGTAACGGGATGACTACGATTGTGACTACAATGTCCCAGTAATCACTTTTCACTGCCCAGGGGACTTGACCCTACGTTTGCCCGCCGAACTCGAGGAAACAATGTGATATCAGGGGTCGAATTTCAAAATATTGCAGTTCAAAAATTAGAATAATCGTTTATAATTCCGTGGGT